TGACATGCCATGATTTTTATCCTTGACGCTCTTCTCTCTTGTTGCAGGGCCCCCACCCTGCTGGCCAAGGCAATCTTCTCTGCTTCCTTAGTTTTGCTGTCACTGTTCGCCCCCAAATCTGTTATACATGTGGCGTCAGAGGTCTAGCCTCCCCTTACACTGAGCCTACTATCTTACATAGACCACTGTGGCTGGGATCCTGACCCAGCATGTGCTCCCTGCTAGAATCACCCCTCACATCCCCTAACCTTCTGCTGGGTCCACAGGCTGGATCTTCTTACTGGTCCTCCTTGGAGGCCAGAAATCTTTCACTCCTCTTTTCCTTAGTCCCCGCGTGCAAGTTACTGTTTCATCCTGGTGATACTATCTTTGAAGTTTTTTTTTCCCTTTTCATTCCTCCCACAGTGTCCCTGTCCCAGTTCTATGAGCAGCCCTCAGGGCTGTGGCACCAGCTTGCTAACTGGTGACCCTCCTCACATTCATTCCTCAAATTCCAACAGTCTCCACATGGGAGCCAGTGAGCCCTCTCATGCGCACCGATATCCCATTCACTTCCTGTGTCTCCTCCAAGCTTCTACTCAGTATCCCACAAGTATTTATTTACCGCCCATGAAGTGCAAGTATTGTTTTAAGAACTGGCAATATGGCAGGGAACAAAACAATGTTCTGCCTTCATGGAGCTACTAGTCTGAGGTAAAGGCATGACTTGGCAGGGCCTACCGCGCAGTTCTTGCTCGCCTCCTAGTCTGCTGGCTTACAGATAATTATACCTAATTTGGTGTTCTTCTGCTTCAGGCTCCTTGCCATTGCTGGACTCTGCTGGGGACTATCTCCTCCCCACCTGTATCCTCCTTGGCCAGCCCCTCCACATGCAGTCCCTCTGGTGCACTTTACAGAGGTGATCTCCAGGAAAACATAGTCTCAAATCTTAGCTTTGGGCGCAATATCTGTGCTCTGATCTCATCTTAAAATGGAAGCAATGATACATACCATATAGGTTGGCTGTGAAAATGAAGTTCCGTCCATAGGAATGCTTAGGTACTTTAGATGCATGACAGATAGTAAGCCTGTCATAAACACGGCCTGCCCTTACTTTGATTTCAGCATTGTTATTGTCATGTTATTATTGTTCCACTCATCTCACTGCTCTGCAGTTCTCTCCCCGATTAAGCAGTCCTTATTGTCTTTGTACCCTAGTGACTAACCTACTCCAGCATATTACCAAGTCGGAGTTACTAAGTGTTAAGGGGAAGATAGAAAGGTCAGCTGATTTGGGTCTGTGGCTTGGGTTTCTTGTGACCAAGCAGGATTATGGTGGAATAACAACCTCAAAGGCTCCCACTGCTATCTTTTTGACCAAGAATCTAATTGTGTGCTGTTTTCATTGTGTGCACAAGAGCTGCAAAGGATTGAGCAAGAATGGAGAATTAAATTGGGTTGAACTGAACTGGAGACAAACTATTTACATTCCTTTATTCATTGACTCGTGGGGTCAAGACTCAGACCCTTAAAGCAGCCATTACCTTCAACCCCCCAGCCCTTTGCCCCGCTGCGTACCTTCCATTTGCCCTGACTCCACACTACCATGTTCCCCTCAAAACTGTTTCCACTGAAGCCCAGGAAGCAAAAGGAGTGCTGCAGGAAGAGGGGAAGGGGTGGAGAGGGGTTAGCACCTCCCTTCTTCCTTTGCTGAGATCAAAGCCAGTATGTTCCCTTGAAGGTCGGCTAGCCCCTTTCATCTCCTGCCCCACCTGCCTGGATGGGACTGCAGTGTGCCCATTTCCTTTTCTCCTGGAGCTGGAGGGCAGTTCCAGGGTGGGGTCATAAGCTATTTCCAGGGCTAGCCAAATCCCTCTACCTCAACTTCTTTTCTGTGTGCCATGATCGTGTTTCCTCTCCACCTCAACAATCAGTAAGAAGCTGCAAGTAACTATGAGGGAAGTCAGTTCCTCGGCTGGCCCTCGGCTAACCCAATGGCTGAAGCAAGTGAGGGGGCCAGAAGACTTGGTCTGGAAGAAGGAACAGGCTCTTCTTTCCACGCCTCACCCCTGAGCACTTCGCCCCACATTCCTCAGAATCTAGAGGGGACAGAGTTAAGCAAAGGCCTCTTGCCCCCAGGAGAGAATTCACATTTATCAGAGTCCTACTATATCCCAAGCTCCAGGTTGGGTCCTTTGATAGATATTATCTCCTAACAGCCCAAACAGGTCAGCATTTATCATCCCTGGGGTGGAAATGACGAAACAGAGATTAACAAGCTTACCCCAGGCACACAGCTAAATCCAGGCGCCAAATTCCAGCTGTCCCTGACCCCAACGCTAGTGCTCACCCTGTCACGTTGTCTCCAAAGCCCAGGAAAGCTATGCTGAGGTGACTCTGAATTATTCCACACAATTAACCAGACACCTAGGTAAACCCTTGGCAAATTAGCTTGACTCAACATACATCTAAGGGAAAACATTGGCAACTTGAGTTTGACTCTCTGGGCTGTGCAAAGAGAACATGACAGAGTTGGTAGTCTAGCAGAGAGGATCTAACAAGTGCAAACTTAGGACACAGGAACAGGGGCTTTAAATACGGCCTACAGTTTCAGTTGGCCTCACCCAAGCAAAACCTCCAAGACTGGAAGCAGCCAGCTGCCATGCATAACTGGCTTCCAACACAGGGACTTTCTTAAACCATCTGAGTTGCCCCGAGGCCAAGAATAGTGCAATTTAGCAGGACCTGAGAATGAGTATTTGATTGGCAAAGGTAGAGAGAAGTTTAGGAACCCAGTCTTGGCTGTTACCTGCAGTCAGTCAGTCTGCTTCAGCAAAGACTGGTTTTTTTTTTTTTTTTTTTAATGACTCTGTCCCATGTGTGGCTCAATCAGTTAAAGCCAGGTGCAAATGAAGCCAGGATAAGAGGCTTAATCCTAGTAGAGCTGTTTTGTCACAGGCCAGGTAGGTCTGGCCCCAGCTGACCAAGTGGTTAGCAGCCCTGTGCTCTTTGCCAAAGGGGACTAAAGTGTGGGCAATCACAGTAGGCGTTCAAGTGAGAACGTGCTGTTCCAAACCGGTGTCTGCAGACAAGCAGCTTACAGCCTGCCTTGCTGACCAAGGAGCCGCCGTGTCAGCCTTGCACATGGAGACAGCAATGGCTCCTTTTATATCTCGCCTAGGCACCCTGCCTCATATTTTTCTAGTGCTGTGATGCCAATGGTGTGGGTCTCCCCTAAGAGCTGCTTTGATGCAGCTGCCTGTATTCTGCGGCTCTAAGCCTGTCTTTCCATTCCCATGAGAAGAGGCCGCCACACCTGTTTAAAGCCTTCTCTTCTACAACTTGAAGTGAGGGGCCCTCCTTGGCTAAAAATAAATGCTTCTCGAGTTTCTTCAGCCGTGATGGGAGGGGGTAGTTTCTACATGTGTCCCCTACCGTACCCCAGGTAACCCTGTTTTTCTCTTTCATGTAGGGATTTGATAAAGACAATCTCTACTCAAGGTAGTTTCCCTCTCCATAATTTGTTGGGAATCACAGAGTAAATCTCTCTGGCAAGGGGTGAATGCCTGTCCCTTTCTGGGCCAATTCACATACATGGCGCGAGAAGCATTGGTACAGTCTTGGGCCTTTTCCTTTCAATTAAACGTGTAGAGTATTCATTCTTCCATAGTATGCAAAAGCTATCTTCCCCATGAAATTAATCTCATGGATTCCACAAAGACACTGTTAGAATCTCCAGATTGTTCCCCAACATCTCCCACGGTGCCAGATGTATGTACAGGCAGACTTCTAACAAGGATAATGTAAATGACAGTAGCAATAACTGTGGGTTCTTTGAGTGGCATCAAAGTCACAGCATAGCAAGATCCCCGTTTCCATGCCTGCTATATATACTGCTTGAGGTTTTGTTTTATTTTGTTTTCAGGGAATTTGGATTCCCTGGTTTACTTACAACCTAACAATGTCACTATTGAAACACATCGTGTTAAGGACCATATGCTCTCTCTCCAGAGAGTGCACACAAATACTATTTCTGTTAAAAAAAAAACACACACACACACACACAAAACAGAAATCGTAGCTTTGCATATTTCTCATTCAAAGACGGATCCCGTTTGAATGGTTCCCTTTGTCACAGAGTTTTTCCCCAAGTGGGCCCTAACAGAAGCTAAATCAGATATCGCGACTTACCAAAGGTCACAAGGGGTCATCTAGTGAGCTAGAAATAGAATCCACAAGCCTTTATTTTGATTCCTTGACTTTAAAAACACAAATTTCACTATAAAGAAAGAAAAACTTAGTAGACTTACTTGCCATTCCTGGAGCAAGGAATCCAAGGCTAATGAATGGGCTGTGAGGGCAAGAGATTACTAAAACTCTGCCTGCCTTCAGAGAGTTCTTGACAGTGGAGAGAGGGGAGGGTAGTCACTGTTGAAAAGTCTCTATCCAGTGCATATGAATACCTAGAGGACCCTTCATGCAGCTGCCACCATGACCTGCATATGACATGCAAGCCAGCACTGTCTATCTGAAGGAGGGGAGGGGTGTAAGAGAGGCACCAGCAGAATACTCTGGCGGTTGGCAGAGAACGAAGGACAGCTTTATGAAGGAGGTGACATGTGAGCTGTGCCTGGAAGATGGGGAGGTTTTTCCACAGGCAGCATGGATTGGGGGTGCAAAAAAGCCATGAGTTCTAAGTAAGAACAAGGCCTGGAGAGAGCTCAGTGGGCTAGCATGCTAGAGCGTGAAGGGCTATGGCTGGAGCAAAGCAGCTAAAGCGTAAGCAGAGGGGCCCTTGACAACAAACACCCAAATTTCATTGTGGCTGTCACTGAAGGGCTGAATGAGTGAGCACCGTGATGGACAGAACTTCCTGCCACATCATGCCACTCTGCCCTTAGAGGCTGTCCTGGCCTTGTCGGGCATGGTGAGCTTCGTTCGATTGTCCTGTTTGTATGTGGTTTGGTTTGGACATTTTATGTGGTTTTGTTTGGTTTTTAGCCTTTCTCTTTTCCTTACAGTTTTTCACAGCATATGGTCCTGATTATGTGCTGGAAATCACGCCAAGCTGCCGGCCAGACCGCAATGAGCCCCAGCGAATCCAGCAAATCCTCAACTACATCAAAGGTGAGCGCCACCCTCCAGTCCTGCCCTCCTTATTCCACCCAGTGTGGGGTGGCCTGCCGCTGGGGGCTTCCTCAAATACCATTTGTCTTTTGGCAACTAATCATTCCACTTCTTGGAAAGGGATCCTCTTTTTGGCCTGACATCTTGTAGCCTGAATTCTACACAAGCCACTCTGGTTGAGATTGTCACTTGGCTGGCTAATGTCACCTTCAGAAGAACAAAAGGTTCAGCTTTAAGACACTTCCAAGGAAAAATCAGTTCTAAAATATTCTGAGAGCCTTTTTCTTTGAAAAGGCCAACAGTAAAACCATCTTTAAGGGCTAGGGTTATGTGGCTCAGGGGCAGAGCATTTGCCTGCCATACTATCTCCGACACTGAAAAAGCAAAGCAAAACAGAAAAACTCTTTAAGTTTAGGGAAGTTCAAGTGAATTTAAACTTGAGGGGTTGAGATAGCGAAGGAATTTCTCCCCCAGACATTCTCTTGCAGCATGGTCTAGGAGAGCAATGAGAGTCTATGAAAGTCCGGTGATTAATCAGGAGTAAAGCTGCTGCCCTCTGCCCCTCCCCCAAGTTATTCTGCCCCCAGGATAGAGAGGATGGTAGCCAGGCTCTACAGTCCACCAGCTCTTTGGGGGTCCTTCCCTCAGCTTTGCTTTAGAGTGCCCCTCACTGCTTCTCAGTTGCTTCTTTAAGACTTGCTTCTCATCTGTCGTTTGTTTTACGTATTTAGAACAATCATTTTTCTGTTAACTGAAAGTGTGTGTGTGTGCGCGCGCGCGCATGTGTGTGTGTTTGAATCTTATTTGCAGAGTTAAGAGGTCATGGATATCATGTTGCCTGTCCCAAAGAGTGAAATTCTCTTGTTTATTCATAAAATGACAACGACAGTGCCAGATCTCCCACTTCTGACTCCTCCTGGGAGTGTAATCGTGTCTGAAGAGGCCAGCTAAAAGCTGGGGTTCGTCTAAGGGAGTGTGCCATAGTCTGAGGGTCTTCTCTAAAGGCTGTGCTCACTAGCAGAGTGTACTTGGTGACAACAGCAAAACCTGTGGTAAGGACTGTATTTCCTAGGCTCTTTTGACCTGAGAAAATTTTCTGTGCTAATGAGCCTTAGACCCTCAGTTATGCTCATAGCTCTTTGCCTCTTGTAAGGTCCTGTAACCCAACCTTCTTCTGCCTCTAATGTTTGAAATCACCTTCCTCTGATCTCTCAATGGCGGCTACCAATTCTATACGTCCTTACTGTCTATCAATCTTCCTCCCTTCTCCAGTCTTTTTTGTTTTGTTTTTTTTTTTTGTCTTTTGTTTTTCTTTTGTTTTCTTTATTTTTTTCAAGACAGGGTTTCTCTGTAGCTTTGGAGCCTGTCCTGGAACTAACTCTTGTAGACCAGGCTGGCCTCAAACTCACAGAGTGCTGGGATTAAAGATGTGTGCCACCACCGCCTGGCCCTTCTCTAGTCATTAAGGCTTCTAAATTCCTTCTGTTGCTGACTCTCCTCACTGTGCTACAATCTGGATGGAGACTGGAGATCTGCGCCCTTCCCCCTGGTTTCCCTCTGCTCCTCTGATCCAGAAAACGGTCCCCATTTCCCTTAAGATTGAATGTGGACTCGTTTCTCTTGTTACTCTTTCTCCTGTCTTACCATTTTCCTATCCAGGCTCTAAATTCTGGGAGCACCCAGACAAAGCACTAAAAACAGAAAGCACACACACATACACACACTACCAGAGTTCCCTGCTCCTACCTCAGCTGTGTGCGTGCATGTATGCCCTGGCCTCCCTGCACACACTCCCAGGCACGTCACTCCAGACAGTGGTGACGTTTGCTGCTGTGGAAACGAAATGACAAACAAGAGAAGACGTGAGAAAGGTAATGTAGATGAGCTAGAAAAGGAACCTGAGTGAGGAGTAGGTGAGGGTGGATCGAGATAAAAAGTGATGCTAAGGGTTAGTTAAAACAAGAATAATACAGTCCAGAGGACACGGAAGTCGCGTTTTTGAACTGTATTAGCCAATGAAGGCAGTATTGGGATAATAACACAATGAACTTCAGCAGGGAGAAAGCATCTGATCCAGGAACTGGGTTCTCAAAAGGGGCTGCGTGCAAGCAAAACGAGATGTGGCTTTAACAGCATTCTGTCTAAAAGAGAATTAGAGACAGTCGTTGACACAGAGTTCAGTATGAGTCACCCGGTCAAGGTGGCCTCCAGAGATGCTAATGCAGTAGCGACCTCACTTTAAAAGGGCTCTAGACAAATAGGAACAATGTTGCAGGAGGTCAGCCAGTCTGGGGGAAGCACTGGAGCCCAAGCTCCAAGAGGTCTGCTTAGAGGGGCTGGGGCTTTCTGGAGAAGAGAAAACTCTAGGGGGGGGGAGGGGACATCAACCCTGCCTCATGTCTCTTGACAGCAAGGCTGTCACAGAACAGGACAGGGTCTAACTGGCGGGAGGGCACAGGGGTGGACGCACGGATGGATGTCATAAAAGGACTGATTTTTCATTCAGAAGCAGGAGGAGTTTGCAACGATTAGAGCTATCTAAAATGGAACAGGGTGTCCAGAAGAGAATGAGGGCTGTCATTAGAGATGGAGGGGGGGTAGAGGATGACTTGGCTAGGAGGGCCCCTACCTTGGGAGAGGGCTCCTTCGGATGCTAAGATCCAGGACATTCTACATTGCAACCAGCGTAGAGAGAATGAAAAGGATCTAGCGAGAGCTTAGCTTGACTGATGAGTCACTGTGTTGGGTTGGGAGGGGACGCTGAGTGGAGGAAAGAACTGACATGGAGAGGCGAAGTCAATAAGAACAGGTGACAAGGAACCAGGAAGGTGGGCGGCAAGGACAGTGAATATAGAATACCAGAAGTGTTCAGATTTTTTCACGGTTCTGTCCCTGTTACAGAGTCTTTGTGTCCCTAGCCGTGCAAATTAACAAAGCCCAGGAATCCAGAACTGAAAAGAAAATGCATCTCAGCCTAGAAGAATTGAGGCTAGAAAGAAATCTAAATGCTGTTCAAAATGGCCAAGCTAACCTGCTCTACTGATACTGTGCCCCTCAGCCTAGTGACGCAGGCTGCCATCAGATAGTGTGTTGCCATGACAATGGTCAGTGTGGAAAGGCTTTTGAGTTTTCTGTATTCTGAAAGATTTCCTTAACCTGTCTTCAAGATTGTCATTTGTTCTTGCATATAAAAAAACCTCCGTGACGCTGGCTTATCCTCACTGTGCCTCCCCCATCCCATTAAAAACCAAGAGCAGGGTACAGGTCCCCGGCTGTTTAGGGAAGGTGAGAAACCATGGAGGGGGTAAACAGATTCAGCCGCTTTGCAAGGGAATTTATCCCCAGCATGTCTGTCTAGTTGAACTTGTTCAGCCTTGGGTGGTTTTTTTTGTTTGTTTGTTTGGTTTGGTTTGGTTTTTCTGTTTTCTCACTACAGCACTTAGAAACATGGATAATGAGATTTTAGCCTATTGGAACTCAAAGCCCAGAAGATTCCTCTTTACTGAGTTACAAGCATTCTACATACCACAGGGGAACTGAAGGCAGAAACAAATGTAGATTGCACCTAGCCCATCTTTTCTGCCCCTCAGTTCTAATGAAAGAAAGAAAAAAGACAAAAATTAAAAAAAAAAAAGAGAGTCAACTTAAGTTACTCACTTTAGACCCAGCATAGAAAAGGTCTGTTTGCTTGACCTTCTTGTGCCAGTGAACATCCTAAAGGCCTAATTCACTGGTCCCAAGAAAGTTCACGTTAGAGAGTGCATGACTGAACATAGCTCATGACTGCTAGTGTGAAATCGTCCTTGCCCCATCTCCACATGCTTGGAGTTGTTTGCCTTTCCTCTGGTTAACATACTCCAAAGGAATTAGCTCATAGTGGACCTTCCAGAGTTGGAATAGGGCTGATGCGATCAGTCCCTAGAGGGGCCCAGCTAGCTCTGCACGGGGAAATGGGCTAGAGGTAGGAGCTTTGCTGGACGGTAGTACCAATGGCATTTGAAACAAGTAGGGGCCACCTGGGGCCTGAGCTTCATGTTTCAGCCAGATTCAACTGGCTGCAAAGAGGGGAAGGAGCACTATGCTCTTGTGCGTGGAGGAATTCACACTGGAGGTTTCGACACATGCTTAAGGTTCCCAGAACTTGTCTTGAGATACAGGAAAAAAATGAGTGGGATCAAGAGAAAAGGAGGAAGAAGGGGAGAGGAGGAATGTACGAGAGGGAAAAACAAGGACTCCGTACACCTGCCCTTTCCAGTCCTTGCTGAAGAGAACAGCCGCCTCTACAGGGCAGGCTGGGGCGGGCCCACCAGACTGGTCTAAGTGTGCAGAGAAAAGGTACAGGTGAAATAATAAGAATAATGGCTACTATGTCTCTTCTAGATGAAGAACCCAAGGCTCAGGGAGAATAAGTGACTTAATCAAGCTCCCTTTGTTCAGCGAGTTCTTACTAAGCACTTCAGTGTGAGTCACATGCTATGAGGGCTAGCACAGTCATTTGAACCCAGGGCTGTCTTAGCGGGAACGTAGGAGTCAGTCTCTGGCCTCTTTGGTTCCCCTCCTCCACTCAGTGGCATTGCCCTGTCAACTCTACTGGCCATCCCTGTGTGCTTTATCCAGTGGCCCCACCCCCAGTAAACCCCCGCTCAGTGCACACTGCTTACCCTGCTCCTTCCGTGCAGTTGATCCACAGCACCCGAAATCGCGTGTCTCCCTAGAAACAAGAGGAAAATACCTATGAGCAGCCCCGAAAGTTCTGACCCCTGAGCCATGCCTTTTCGTGCTCCCCGGCCCTCCACCCACACCATGCCTCCATCAGCTTCACCAAGCTGAACTCTGGAGCTTTGAACTCCATTCTGAGCTAAGTAGAGAAGGTCAGGGGACAGAAGGAGCTAGCGCCACAGCTGCTGCCCCTCCAGTGTGCCGTGGTGGCCGGCTCTAGTCCGCTGTTTACAGCTCCACAACCCCACACTGAGACCCTTTGCACATCTGCTGCTAATGTCCTTCGGAGAGCTAGTGTATAGGGGATCAAGGAAAACGCACCCCCTGTTCAGCCTGAAGTCTGGAGGTAGCATCCATCTACGGGTTGGCAAAGAGGCTCAGACTTCAAGGACTGCTGGAGCCCTCAGCTCAAAGCAGCTCAGCTCTGCCTGAAGAGACACTACCCCAAAGAAATAAGGCTTCCCCACACACCCATTCTTGCTGCCTGGAGCAGGAAGGGGGTAGGAGGCAGAGTTGATTCCAAGGATAGATTGAGCATTTGCATTCCAGTTTCTTGGAAGGACTTTGGAGCAGGATTGGTGGAAATCCTGAGCCAGTTTGTCTGGTTTTAAGTAAAGATCTCTGACATCTAGGCCTTATCTCCCCTTCCCACTCCCTCCCTGCCCCCCACTGTTGTTTTTCCTCCAGGAGCTGGCCACCTGCTTGCACTTTCCCACTGAGCAGACTCCTCTCCTTACTTCACTAAAGAAAATAAGAAAGGGATGCTTTATTGTGGATTTTGTTGCGAAATAAGTTACAAAAATGGCATGCAAAATTTTTCAAATTCTAAAAAAAAAGGAGGCTAATCCCCAAAGTTACAATAAATTAGCAGCTTAAATTCAATATGCAATGAAATGAAGGCCACTGGCAGATTACTTATGAAAACTGGAGATTTCTACCTAAAACCATGAAGGAACTAACTGCAAGTGTATCACACACTCATTGTGCTGGGTATTTCACATACACTAACGCATGGTATGTCCTTATGGGGCAGGAGACTGATAACCATGGGCACAGTATACCATGCTTGCGATCACATAACACCAAGTGGTGAACACTCTAAATTTGAATCCAGGCCTTGCTGTCCCTACCAATCATCTCCCACCTGCTTTTTTCCATCGTTCTTTATAATCCCTTCCTATCCTTCATGGGCTCCCAAAATGCATCCTGAACCCATTAAATTTTAAGAGGTACAATTCTGCCTTCACTTTAAAGCTCAACCCAATCAAGTTATTTTTGAACCTCCCACTGTGTCATGAGCTGTAGGGATGGGTGAAGACATGATCTCTGCTTCCGGTGAGTAACTGAGAAATCTGGAGGACGACACAAAACCGAAGCCCCTTGGGTGGATGCAGATATCCTGGGGCTGACACTGCGTAGAAGCCGCTGAGGGTAAAACTTGAGGGAGATGACTTCCTGGAGGCTGGCGGATTGGAGTAGAGCAGAGTACAGAGGTGATGTTCTGCAAGGGACTCTCAGAAGCGTGAGGACAGAGCTGGCTGCCCTGGGTTTCAGGCTGAATAGTCTAGATCACATACAAAAGAAGTAGAAGCCATTGCAGTTCTGAAATGAGGGTATAACATGATATAGTCATGCTTGAGATGGATCATGATGGTGTGGTCTAAAGGTGGACCTGAGTGAACCTGGACGAGTGCTGAGAAGTGCCGTGGGAAGAGTGTCACTAATCCTTGAGGTAGATCATTTATAGGGAGAGGATAGAGAATAAGGGGAAAGGACAATGGCTCTGGGGTTTCCTAGATAAGCACAAACTAGGACTTGGTAGCTGCCAGTACAGGAGGCCTAGTTTTACACACACACACATGCTTAAAATACCTTTTTCTGTTCATAACATATTCTGTTTTGATATACTGAATGTAAGGTATAATGTTAATTCCATCTAGTGTTTTTATGTGGGAAAATTTGTTGCAGCCAACTACAAAGAAAAATTTTAGAAATAATTTGGTAAGACAAGTATTATATGTTAAGTAAAGAAAACTCAAAATGGTTTAATGCCATCGAGTCTCAATTATGTGTGTGTGTGTGTACATGTGTATAATGAATGTATGAGTATGTGGCTATGCATAGAAAAACCTCCAAAAGAAATGATAGCAGTAGTTATCTTCAGTAATAACTTTTTGAGACAGTGTTTCACTGCTCAGCCCAGGCTGGCCTCAAACTCATGATCCTCCTGCCTCAGCCTCCCTGGTGCAGCAAGTGCTGCAATACCCAGCTACCATCATCTTCAGTGATACTTTGCCAGAGTACTTTAACAGTAGTTGTCAAGGATTAAAATTATGGATAATTTTTCTTTCCTTTTTATTCTTTTTCTATATTTTTCAAAGTTTCTAACATAAATATATATTGCCTCCCAGTCAGAAAAGAAGTAACATGTTTTTTGTTTAAAGAAAAAGACAGTAAGAACTGGGGAGGCAGCTCAGGAGCAGAGCATCTATGTAGCCTTCCAAAAAGTCAATAAAACTTTAATCCTTAATTTAGATCCTATTTTCCAATTCCAGATTATAAAATATAGCTACCACACCTACCTACAGACCATTCCAAGGACTTGTCAGGGGGAGTGTTTTAAATACTCCATTTTCTCTAGGTACCTCTAGGAATTCTAGGGCATTCCATTTACCTCGAAAAACAGATCATCCTCTGTCTGATGATGTAAATCCTCTTAGGTCCTGGGTAGGAAATCCAAATGTTTCCTTTTCCAAAATGCCTGTACCCCCTAAAGCCGCTATTTCAGTTTCTCTGGGTTTTGCCTTCTAATCAATCACCTGATCCTCTGCGGTCGTGAGTGCAATAGCTACATAATATGTCCTACACTCAAGCAGAATGACTTCTCATAGTTTCTTCTTCTCAAAATCATTTCAGATAAAGGCCAGGTGTTGTGGCGTACAGCTGCAGTCCTAGCGCTCAGGAGGCCGAGGCAGAAGTGTTGATGGTACTTTGCCAGCATTTGCTTTATAGTGAGACCATGTCTCAGAAAAGTAATTACGGCTGGTCAAATGGCTCCGTAGGTTAAGATTCTTGCCACTGAGCCTGATGACCTGAATTCAGTCCTCGTGACCCACGTGTCTACCAAATGGGAGGATTGATTCGTGCAAGTAATCCTGACCTCCACCCATACATATATATGCATACACACACTAGATAAATAAATGTCAACAAAAATTAAGCAGAATTAGTTCTTTTGTGCTTTTCCATGTGAACTTTGGAATAATCTTGTCTAATTCTATAAAGTGATTTTGATAAGATTTAGAAAGAACTTGTGTTAAAGCCTATACTTCTTTTGGATATAATTGACATCTTTACTATGTTGTTTTCCAACCTATAAATATAGCGTGTCTCAACTTTGAGATTTAGGCCTTCTTCCTTTTTGTTAATTTTGAAGTGCTGAAGATTGAACTTTATGCATCTTTTGTGTATGCTAGAGCAACCACTATACCGCCGAGCTACATCTCCAGCCATTTTCACTTTTTTTAAAAAATTTCGAGACAGAAATTACTAGGTCACCCAAGGAGGCCTTGAGCTTCAATCCTCCTGCCTCAGTCTCACACATCCCTGGGATTACAGGTGTAAGCCACCATACACAGCTATATTTTTATTTCCTTCTTTAACATTTTGTAACATATAGTAAAAATACCAATCTACCAAGATACAGCAATCCAAACTGTGTATGTGTCACACATCAGTATATTAAAAAAACATGAAGAAAAACTAATACGGTTGTACAGGGAAATAGAGGATTCATCACTGAGGCTGAGAAGATAACCCAGCAGTAGAGTGCTTGCCTCGCATGTGCAAGGTCTTAGCTCAACCCTCATTTCAGCAAAGAAAAAAAAAAAGTCCACAATTAGAGACTTCAGCATCCCTTTCTCATCAATAGACAGAAAAGAGCTAGGATATAGAAGAGTTCAACAGTGCTACCAATCAATAGGCTTTAACTGACATTTATAGGCTACTCCAAACAACAGAACACACGTATTTCTTAAGTTTTAAAGGAACATATAACAAGATAGGACCATATGCTCAGCCATAAAACTAATCTCAACCAATTGAGAATAATTGAAATTACGTAGAATATATTTTCTAACCGTAATAGTATCAGCATAGAAATTATAAGCCTCTTGCAAAAGAAAACTCCAGACCTACATAGCTTCACTATATAATACTAATTCTACTGAAATGAAGAATGAACACCAATTCTATATTATCTCTCTCAAAAAAATGGAAAAGAAAAATCTGGTTGTTGCTGCTGTTGTTGTTTGTGCTTTTTGAGAAAGGTACTCTCTGTCTCTGTCTGTGTGAGCATGTGTCTGTGTGAGAGAGACAGAGACATGTGTACACGGCCGTGTGTGAGTGCAGGCACGTGTGCCGGAATACACATACGTAGGTCAGAGGACACCTTGTTTGAGACAGTGTCTCTGTTCATTGCTGCATATGCCAGGCTAGCTGGCCTTTGAGTTTCCAGTCCTTCAGCCTCTGCTCCCCCCACGTCACAGTAGGAGCCTTGGAATTACAGATGTATGCTACCACAGATTCCAGGGATTTGAACTGGAGTTCTCATGACTGGGGTAAGTGCCTTACACACTGAGCCTTCCTCTCTCCGGCCCGACAGGTTTTGCTATGCAGTCCTGGCTGTTCTAGAACTCCCTATGTAGACTAGACTAACCTGAAATTTGTGGTAATCTTCTTGCCTCTGCCTCTTCAGTGTTTACTTCAAAGGCATATGCCACTACATCTCCCTGCCTCAACAGGGGAAAATCTTAAAAAAAATTAATCCCCAAAGTATGCACTGCTATATGATACTGAATGATGAAATGGAATGTTTTCCCTCTAAGCTCCAGACCAAGGCAATTTTGCCACTCTTATTCAAGATAGTACTGGAATTCCTAGCCAAACAATAAGGGAAGAAAAGGAAATTTATAAAAAAAAATCTATCAGAAA